TGATTGTGCAGTCTGGGAGTGAAATGGAACTGGGACCCAGGGGGCGTCCGGGTGGGGGGGGGGGGGGGGGGGGGGGGGTGGAGTTAAAGATAGAGGGTTATGAAACTGAGAAGAACTGGGCTCAGATCTTTGTGAGACTTACTCATGCCAGGGAGGGGAGAGGTGAGGAAGTTCCCCCTGGGACCTCCAGACTCTATTTCTTTTGACCTCCCTGCCAGCTCAAATTGAATGTGGACACGGGCAGCTCATCCCTCCTGCTTTTACACTGCTCTCTCAGTGCCTCAATCCCACAAGGCCTTGGCGGGGGAGAGGGAGGGTGGAAGGGGGGGAGGGAGGGAATGTGTAGAGGGAAAGATAAAAAAGAGATGGACCAAGTGACAGCAAGTGGGGGGAGAGGGAGAAAGAGGCAAAGAGGGAGTTGCATCGAGTTCCCCAGGCATAAAAAGCCAGTGAACTCTTCCTGACCTCTGACATAATAAGCATATCATTTTTGGGGGGTTGCCTTGCTTTCCATTGAGTGTTCTACTGATACCCTTTGATTTTTATCCTTGCATGCTGACACAACCGTTAGCTATCCAGTCTGATCCACATTTTGATTCAGAGATGAAAGCCACAGAGGTACTTTGAAATGCACAGCCCCTACCCAGTGGACCCTGAGTTAATAATGACAGTGGGCACTGCACACCCTCCAAACACCCCCCCCCCCCCCCCCCCCGGTGACACAGGCACAACTAGCTTGACCCTGGCTGGGTGTGAATAATTGGCATGCAGGGGGTTGTGGGAGGTGTTGCATCTGTCATGATGCTTCTGCAGTTGTCTTATTTATCCCCTTTCCTGGGAGAGTATCTCGCATGCAACGCTTTGCTCCAGTGAAACGATGCACTGGCAGAAATGTGTCGTCGTACATGAAACATTTTGAGTATTCTTAAGGGTTTCGATTTTTTTTCTCCCCCCTTGTAATATGTCAATATCCCAGGGATACACATTTGCGTATTATTGTATTTGGATACACCATAGGGGCATTGTAGATGTGCTGTGTAGAAACATTTTAGCTATGTTTCACCATCTTAGTTGACACAGATTTCTGTTGAATTTTGAAATGTCCCGTCTTCAGTTATGTCACTTTGTGAACATGAAGATTGTCCTTTGCTTTCCAGCTCTGCATGAGCAGACACAGGCAGGCCTTTTGTGTGTGACCTCTGGTCCATACATCCCCTCTGCAGCCATCAGTATCGCTGTCCGGTGTCTAGCACACTGTCAGCTATTGTTGGGTTCTCAACCTGCCCCACGTAGCCCTCTGCTTTTTTTTTTTTTTGTTTTTTTTTCTCCGGGAGAAAACAGCAGCCAATTGTCAGAGGGGGAGCAGGCCGGCGTGACAGAGGTGGAAAGCTAATGAAGTTATTTGACGGCAGCCCTGGCCAAGGAGCGAGAGGTGAGGCACAGTGGACAAGCGCCTGGCAGCGAGACGGATGAGGCGCGAGAGAGAAGCGCGGCGGAAGGGGAGAGAAACGCGGGGAGAGAACGGCGATGAAAGTAGCTTTGGTGGCAGGTGTCAGACAGGCTGTGATAACATGGAGACAAACTGATAGCATCGTCAACCCTGAACTGGAACCAGCCGTACAGCATCATGTACGGCTGACATTGGCCTGGGTTAGGGTACGTATACTCACACAGGCTCCTGCCTGTGTGAGTATACGTGAGCCATATATGGCTCACAGAAGAGATGCCCAGTTACCCAGAGATGCCCATCTCCTCCTCAGATCTGTTCTCTCTCTCTCTCTCTCTCTCTCTCTCTCTCTCTCTCTCTCTCTCTCCAAGACGACCTGCCAGAGACTGGATGCCCACGATGCTATTGTGAAATTCTGACAGACGAAAGGCCAAAGTGTAAGCTCAGTGTTGCGGGCTGAATTGTTCCTGTTGGTAGTGTGCTCCAGCTTTTTTGTTATTGAGCCATCAGCTTAGAGGAATAAAAAAAAAAAATAAATAACTTGCCAGTTGGATTAGGCTACTAAATAATTCATTGAGCTCTGTAACATAGATTCTGAGTGGAAATTCACTCTATTTATAGCGACAATCCAAAAGGTCACTGAAGTGGTGTGACTTTGTGTGCGAGTCCACGTCCTGGGGTTGTTTTTGTTCTCGTGAGGCCACAGCGGAGAAGAATTTGGAAGTCTTAAGCTTGTGTTGTTGAGTCTGTATTTGTCTGTGGTTCATGTGCAGCCCAGCCTTTTCATATGGTTTGAATGCAGCACGACGCAGCATGCGTACTGTTGTATTTAACAACACAAAGCAAGGGTTTCTCCCAAGATATAAGTGTGTGTCTGCGCGGGTAAATTAGATGTGTAATTTTATGTGTGTTTGTAAGGCGGTGACCAAGTGTGCTGTCCCTGTCTGATCCGACATGGCCCAACACGCTTCTAATTAGAGGACGTCCTTCCAGGTGCTGACCAGGTTATACTTAGCCTGCCCGCTGACATCTGACGGTGTGACATTTCCAGCTGGTGCTGCGTGCGACCCTGCGCCCACTGCCCCTGAACTTGAAGGTCCCTGCCCCCCCCTCCCCACCACCACCACCACACTCAACCTCTTCCTTCTGCCCTTCTTGAACTGCAGCCACGGCCCGCCATGGTGTGGCACTGTGGCATTGTGGCACCACACGGGTGGTCAAAACACCAACACCTGTCCCCTCTTCCTGCCCCTTATCCCCTCATCCCCGAGCCCTCTATCCCTCCGGCATAGATCATCATTAATCAGAGGGGCTGGAGCCGGCACAGATTGATGATGCGGGCAGGGGGCGGCAGGCCTATGGCGGTTAGAGATGTTAGGTGAGATGGAAGGGTGAGGAGCGGAGCAGATCTCTGCTGGGGCCAGAGGAGACTGGACAGCAGTCTGCCCAAGAGTGATAGCCTCTCTTATATCCATGCCCTGTGTGTGTGTGTGTGTGTGTGTGTGTGTGTGTGTGTGTGTGTGTGTGTGTGTGCTTGAGTGACTGAGTAAGTGTGTGTCTGTCTGTGTGTGAGACAGATAGTAGTAGTGTACAGATTGTTTGAAAACTGTTGTGTCAAAGGTTGGGACGGGTGTTGAAAAGCTATTTAGATAAGTTTGTTGGTGCCTTACTCAGCAACAATTAACTTTATTTAAATTTGAATTGAATTTTTCTTTGAACTGAAACGTGTCTGTGATTTGAACTTTTACAGTTCGTGTCACGTCTTAGCAGCTCCCCAACTGTTCTGTCAGTTGTAGCATCAGCATATGATTCTGATTATTGCTGAATGTATCACCATTACTATTACAGTTATATAACATCTTAAATGTATTCCACTTTAAGGAAAAATATTCCTTGAGGTGAATATATTTTTACAATTAACAAAGGCAAATATAGAAAGCAACCTTTGCCACATTTGGTTATCATTAGCATATGCCACGGCCTGCCTTTTAAAGTTTGCTATAGCAACGAGGCTCTGCTTCGTGACTCATGTGTGAAACAGTCTAAATCACAACACCACAGTTGTGGATACTTTTTCAACCATCGAGTCTAATTCGTTTTAACTTTTGGCAAACAATAACATGGAAACATTGCAGAGAACAGGAAGTTCTACACAGACTTCTACAAACTTGTTGCTCAAAGAAATTTGCTTCCTTCTAAAGCAGGTTTATAACAAGTCAAAAAATTACAAAAAAGTTGTTATTAACTCATAAAACCACAAGAAAAAAGACAATAATATGGCATATTTATATATGTAATGGTATATGTTTTGCTACAGCGTAACTTGCAGACACATTCATGCAACTGTTTTAAGTTTCATGTAATCGGATCTCTTCAGCCAATCTACTTAATGAAGTACTCGGTGCTGTAATTGTTTCTGATGAAGGGCTCGGTACACCCGTTGTAAATCACGTTACAATAGTGGACAATAGTATCCTTTTAACCCTCCGCTCGGTGAAATGAAGCTATCAGGTAGCACAGGCAAATATAATGTGTTTTAAAAGATATTTCTGCAGCCTCTCTCACCGTTTTACAGCCACCTTAAATGTCAACAATGTTGTAAGCTTTAGCCTGTGTAAACCTTTGTTTTAGTGCAGAGTGTAGTGGAACATGCTGGGAGACACAAAGAGAGGCGCTTGCCCTGCTGTTCTTTTCTTGGCGGCTATCGGAAGTTGCTCCATGTCTAATTATTAATTATTCATCTAAGGCGGATTAGATGTGGCCCAGTTTCTCTTGAAGATGGCTTTAGAGCGGAGGGATCCGTGTGACAGTTCACTCCCTAACCTAGGCGACACGCCGCAGCGATGGCAGATAAGACTTCAGCCGATTGCTATCGCGCTCTACAGACGTAGGTCTTTTTTTTTGTCCTTTATGTCTGAAGAGGATTAGGCCGATGTCCGAGGGCGAGAAGGGATGAAGAAACCAGACGTGAAGTAGAATAGAGCTGAGAATAAAGTGTACAGAAATGAATGGGACGGGGGAGGGGCGGTGTGAAGGAGAAAAGAGGAGGGAAGTGAATTGGGCATTTGTTGTGGATGCCCTAAAGACCAAGAGAGGACAGTCATGAGGTTGCACCCTTTGTGTCGGCCCACAGCACGCCAACTGTGGTGTCTGGTGCGGAGATAGGGCTGTGACAATCCACTGTGGACCACTTTGTTGTTCCAGGCAATTTGCATGTGAATGTATTCTACTTTATGTTGTGTATATATTGTCCTCTTCACTCGTAACAAATGTAAATGAGATGTCCTGATGGCATATTGGGTTTTTTGGTCTTTTTTTCCAGTTAGCACCACAATACATTTAAGATAAATGCTCACCACAAGCTGAAGGATGATGAGCGGTTCACAGAATGTAGAATGTGAGACCTTTTGCCATCAATCAGTAAATAATGTAAAGCCGATGTCTTGATGGAAAGAATGCAGAGCATTCATATGGCCTCTTGTTATTTCTGGGTCAAACTTAACATACACCTTTTAGAAATACCCAACAAACCTCACTTGTCACAAACTGTATTGGAACTCTCTTTTTTCTTTCCTGCTGCACTCAAATTCTTAAATTCATCTCTTTCCTTCTTTTCTTTCTGGCTGCAGCGGCCAACCAGAGGGAGACGCTCAAGTCTCCATTCCAACTGAAGGAAGAGCCCAAAGTGGAGGAAGTGTTGAGCCCCCGACCGTCCTCCAAGTCCCAGAGCCAGGTACAGCCAAGCTTCCCTGCAGCTTTCTGCCAGGACGGGCCAGTGAGGGCGGCAGCAGCAGCCACGGAGCGCCCCGGGTCACTGAAACCAAGGGAAGGAAGTCCCATGGCTAAGAACACCTTGCTGACCCAGGATATCAACATTAAGGTTGCCTCTGAGCTGCTGATCAAGCTTTCAGGTATGCCTGTAGGAACTTTATCTGTGGATCTGTACACTAAAGCAAATCTAAGCAAAACATTAAATCTGTGGTCTTGAAATTGGGTGCATATACTGTATTTGTTAAGTTTGTGTTCATGCAGATATGCATAGAACAACAACAGCCACTTCCATACACAACTATTTCATGGAAAGAACAGACCATGCACTGTGTTATTGATATTTGTTGTGCTGGTCGGCTGTTTTAGTTTCAGATCAGCCAATAACAGCTCAGGAGGTTAGTTTCAGGCCAACAGTTATGTCACTGACCGCCATTAAAGGGTTCTGTTGTTTTCTACCGTGACACACCTAACCGAGCTGAAATTGGGGCCTTCTCAAAGGTGAGCAAAGTGTACCTGTGGTGAAAAAGCACATGTGGTGAGTTAGTCTTTGTCTCTCTGAGGCCTCTGCTCTAGATGGTGGCTGCAAATGTCCTTGTATCCTCTGTGATGATATTTTGGTAACCGTTCAGTTTCTATTTACAGTACCACTCTATGCATCTATGGTTTATTCCAAGTTATTGTGGACAAGAATCAGTGCGTTGAGGATCAGTTCTGCTTTGTCATATGGCATAAGATCTATCTGCTTGCCATATTGAACTTAAAACCCTTGTTCCATGAGAGGTAGTTAAACAGTTTCAACCTGCGTTGACCACTCTGTCATCATCCAATGCTGCATGATTTAGCTCCAGGCAGGGACTCAAGCCTAGTTCTTTATTTGTAGCACTTGCAAAGGTGCTGCTGCTGCACTTGTGTTGCTGTTTTACCTGTTATTTTTCAATTACTACACACTTTGTTTCACTGCTAAATAAAGCCGCTTCTTATTATAGCCTACATCTACAATCACTACTGAATGCTAGGTCCAGTTCAAGTGTTTTATGGACAGGTGTTTGTCAGGCAGTATTCATCAGTATGTACCAACAGAGCTGGCTTCCCTAGCTGTATGAACAAGTTTAGTGTTTTTTCCCTGATTCAACAATTAATTGCAATACTCAATGCATTGTTCTGAACTACTTTTCCGTTTAAAAAATTTAAACAGACCCATTTCAACATTGGAATAAATAATATGCTAGAACTGCGCAGCCATAAAATTTACAATGTGTGACACGCTGGTGCAAATACACACAGTGTTTAAAAAGCACAAAGCAAATGGCAGTCTGATGGTGGCGCAGTGGGGCGTTACTCCATCTGCGGCTCTTCATCCTGTGCCAGTGTATGCATGCTTGACAGACACCTCACACACCGGTTGCCATTGTTCTCTCTGGGTTGACTAGTGTTCGGAGTGAGTCATGTGGGCTGGAAGCTCTGTGGTGCTACACGTGGTGCTGCTCCACTGCCTGCCCCCAGGTCACGTTTCCGTGTGTGTGCGTTTGAGGATGACAGAGATGACATGATTACTACTTTAAAACAACAACAATAAAAACAGATTTAGTATGCTGGCCTTTGTGTTAAATCAAGAGAGAAAAGCTGAGAGAACGATGTGGGCAGGATGTAATTCCTCCAGTGTTCTGCCTCCACCTCTTTGTTTCATCACCGTTCCTCTCCCATCATTTATTTATTTTTTGTTGCCATTTCCAGTCCCGGCACTGATTGTTATCCTGCCGCTGCATTTGGTTTCTCAAGCAGCACACGCGGCCACGGCGTTTATCCCCCCACCCATCGCTTACACTAGCTCTGCAAAGGTTGACCTAGGTTAGGGAAGGATGCTGCAGCGTTCATCTGTCCGCCGGCTCCATTTCTGCCCCCTCACACAGTCCTCGGAGCGCAGTGCCGTCCATCGCCATGGCAACAGCGGGGGCGGTAGATGGAGAGGGCTGTCTGGAGAGTGACAGCCTTGACAAGAGTCTGGACCCTCAAATGACCCTGGGGTGGGGGGAGAGGAAGAGAGAGACGGGGAAAGGTCAATGGTGTTACAGTCACGTGTGATTACGGTCGTGAGGTTCAAGGGCAGCTACGCTGTGGCCCCCTTCTGTCCCCTGGTAAAGGTCAGCCCCAGAGCACAGTCACCCAGTGAGGATACTTAAATAGGGAAATGACACTGGGGAGTTTAGACTCCGCATTTTTCTTGTTTAAAAAAAAAACAAAATCGCATTTTCTCCATTTAAAAAGTGCCTATTTCCTCGTTGTTGCTTGGCGTACAGCAAATGGACACAGCTTAATTAGATTTCCGCTACTCATCCCTCCTCGACCACGGCATCGGACAGTCCGAGTAAGTGGGGTTGTCATCGTTAGGGCCCATTGTGCTGTAACATGAGTTGCATCATCCCTTTAACTAGGTCACTTCTTCTTCTCTTCTCTCTCCTTCCCCCCCTCTCTCTCTCTCCTCTCTTCCTTATCAAACATTGGTTGGTCGTGTTGAGTCGCCTTGCGAGCGCTACCTCCCCCACATCTGTTTAAAACCAGGCTGCTGGTGTCTGGGGGCTAATTACGCCAGGCTAAATAGTCCCTGGCGCCAGAGGCTAACGTGTCCTAGCAGATGGGCACTGGTGTTGCAGGGCAAGGGGAACATGGCGTCACAGGAAGGGAGGGGGGAAGGGGGGGTACAGGGCCCTAGGTGGTGGCCTGGCAGACTGGCATCGTGTGGGTAACAGCCGTGCCACCCACTCACCATCCAGCCACCCTCACCATAGGTGTGAAATCACACTTTGTACTTGCTTAACTCATTCCTCATTCCTTAGGAATGGGTCTTTCGTCTCTGAGGACATTTTAAAGGCCCTCTCCCCTCTGCAGTGCTCGTTACCTTCCTAATAAAAGTTACATTAAGCAGTTTCTGACCACAAAGGAGCAGAAAGACTTTGGACCAAACTGTCCGCTACAAATGTGTAGCTCATGAGGTTTTTTTTGTTGATTTATTATAGAAAACCACAACCTACTGACGCATCCAGCCGGGACAAAGCTCCACGGACCTTCTTTTTCTGGTTACCATTAAAATGTAGGTTTAATAAGCAGGTGTTGATCCCTGGTTTAATCCATCAGCTCCAGTGATAGTTGATGCCTATGGTTTTCATAAGAAAGTGGTATTGTGTTTTTTTTTTTTTGGTCTGTGCGTCAGAGCAATTAGCTGAATACAGCAAGAAGCTTGGAAAGTGGGTGTTGATTTCCAGGAGCATTGGCAGTTCTTGCAGCAGTGGCCAAGGCTGATTGATTGAGATATAATTAAGGCTGGTTGTAATCAAACTGTACCTGGCCTCCCCCCCCAAAATATTTCACATGATTGCTTTCTACTGTAGGAGCCACAACTGACATACCCCACATTGTCAGTGTAAATATCGTCACTGTCAACTGGATAAATCTGACCGTTACACATCTCTTCATCAAGAGTCTGCTCTTGAATTAAAACATTCCATGTTTTAATTCTGCTCTAACATTTCATTTTGCCACGGATAAACCGCCCTAGCTAGTTCTGCATGATTTCCTCGAGGTAACCACGTTGGATCACGGTGCGTAATGTCTCTGCTCTTTGATGCGGCGCTTGTTACAGATGAAACACACATTGTACATCTCCTGCTGGCTTCAGGGTAGCTGTAAATTTAGTCGAACCAAGTGGAAGTCTTTCTTAAAGTCTACAAGCAGTTTAGGATGACGGATGCAGAGAGGCGTATTGACTCTGTTGCTTGAATTGCATTAAATGTGTGCTTTTTCGTTATGCGTCTACTGGTTGTAGAATGTTTATTTACGTTATTCAGCATTATTATGTGATTTCTGCCTATTTGCATCACTAGCATAACATTGCAGTTGATGATAGAATGACTAAATATCGTGGCGCTGAAATAAAAGATGGTCCTTTTTACAGCTATTTAATTTCAATTTCGATTGTATGTCGAGAGGTAGTGTAATATTTTATCATCATATCAATACTCCTACCGTCTTTGCACCATTGGTAGTAAACAAGCGGCAACTTTCGGTGCTGAAAGATTAAGCCAACGCGCAAGTGCCAAAAACTGGATTTATCTCTGACAAAAATCTATTTTGGTCCCTACATTTAATATCCCTGTTTAGGAATACTGTACAGGCGGGAATTTTTCAACCGGCGGATTCCTCTGGACCCGCCTCAGCTCCACCAACTATCCACCTCTTCACCTGTTTTATAATAGCTGAGACTACGTCCATATTTCATACAGTCTATGGTAGTAAAGCACAGTTGAAGGAAGTTAGGAGAACGTATTATATAGCCCTGGTTGCACTGGTCTGCAGCTGTTATGTGAGAAATAGTTAAGATGCAATCAAAAAGCCTCACTTTCTTTGACTTTCAGGAGTAAACGCTACTGAGCAACTTTAGCGTCGCATAAAAGGATTTACTATTTAAATGGCTTATCACAGCAGACTGTAAGCAGTTCACAACACTGGCATTACTGTACAGTATTACTTTATGTTTAGCTCTACAGTGTCCTCATCATGCCCCCTCAGTGTGGCCGCTCGCTGACCTCTCTCCCCCCCCCCCACCCCCCCCCACATCTTTCTTTCTGTCTCACCGGCTCCTCATCACTGCCTGTAGTTCTATTTACAGAAATGCAGAGTTGATTCCTTTTGCCCCTTGCTGTAGGTGTTTGTTTCCTGGGTAGGTAGTGATGGACAGGATGACTGAGGCACATCACTCGTCGTCTTTTTTTGTCTTTATACATTATATGACGAAGCTTCACTCGCCTTGGATCAGCTCCAGCGTGTGTCACATTTTGTTGTTGTTGTTGTTTAGGACCACTTTAATAACGGCCATATCTCGCTCCTTACGGGCTGCTTATTCAAGCACGATGCACTAGAGTTGTATGTAGCCGCAGTTTGCGACCGTTGGAAGGCTGAACTGAACCACTGAGAGCTAGCTGGTCGAGGATCAATTGTAGCAGCAGCTGTCTGTGAAGTCTGCAGGCAAGGCTGCTGTGGCTCCCACATGACATGCAGTCTCCACACTGCAGCCTTTGAAGCGCATGAACTCTTCACCCCTGTCTGAGCAGGTCGGCTAGAGAGCAGGAGAATAGAGAGAGAGAGAGAGAGAGAGAGAGAGAGAGAGAGAGAGAGAGAGAGGGAGGATGGGGGCAGGGTTAGAGAGATGTGGAATAACAGAGCAGGGAGAAGGGTAGACTAGGATAACGGGACGGGGTGGAGAGGTTGTCATTTAGGCTCTAGCTATTCCTCATCCTTCTGTCCTCCCCCAGCTCTTCTCTCTCATCCCACATTCTTGTTTCCTCTCTTACCCTCGGGTCTTCTTTTTCTGGCACTGTTTGGCAATTCTTTCTCTTCCTTTACCCCTCCTCCTCGCCCCTTCCTCTCGTCTGTCTGCCCTCACCGCCTGTCTGTCCAAGTTTTTCTTCCTGTGCCATCGATGCATTAAAGTGGTGCAATAAATTGACTTTGCGAGCATTAAGTCACGAATGGTGTGTGACTTTTTTTTTTTGTGTGTAGTAACGAAATCTGTCTGGGGTCCGTGCCATCCTGCTGTATATTCTCAGCAAAAGAGGCTGTCACGTCCACGCAGATTCAAGTAGACACCAGAGGTCAAAGTTGATCACTAAAAACAGAACATCGCGCAAACCCCGATCACTTTCATTCTGACTCAAAACGTGAGTAATGCTGCTTCAGAGGGAGCAAGGTATGTATAGTGCATTTAAAGCATCTTGGCATACAGATCACAGGCACACACAGTATAAAACTGTGCAATTTAGTTGCCGTTACAAACCAAATGGAGCTGAAAATAAACTGATATTTGAATAGAACAATATACCTCATGCTATAGGTAAATTAGGTTATATTACTGCTGCTAGCTACATTGGACCATGTTGTCCCTGTGTAATGATCAGTCTAGAGGACAGCCATTCAAACTCTACTGAGGACTTAATATTCCTTTATTTGTAATCAAACAATACTTAAGAAGTTAGTTTCCCTGATTTTTAAAAAAATCTCAAATATTTCCACAAAACAGCTCTCGTGTATAACATTAGTGTGTTTTGAAAATATTATAATACAAACCACCATGTTTTCGGCGGCCTAATGGTAGCTGGTGTATCACAGAAGAGGCTTTTGCACTCTTCTGTGAGTATGACACACACATGCACGCTCTCACTTACACACACACACTCTCTCTCTCTCTCACGCTCTCACTTACACACACACACGAGCTGGATTCAGGCAGACTGATGGCAGCTTTTTATGGCTTCAGAACATTAGGTCATGACCCTGACCAAAAAGCCATAGCTATTATCAGTGTGGGAATAAGGCCACATTTTCATTGTGTGACAGGTAGACTTGTGATCCGGCTCTGCTGTGATGTTATGCTTTTCAATGTGGTGTCAGTGTGTTTACGATCAAATGTTTTCCCCCCGTGTGTCACGTGACCTCTCTGTAACGGCTCTTTAGGTCGTAAGCATGTTTGTCCCCCGGCGCCGGGAGCTCAAGTACACATGGTGTCCGCTAGTGTAGGCTTTTTTGTGTGTAACTGTGTGTTTTTGCAGCGCAGCAGTCCACTCAGCATCTCGTCGTTGGGGTGGTGATCCAATGATGGAAGCTCGCGTGTCCCTTTGTTGACCCTTACAGAGCTGCCCCCTCCCTCTCCTCCTCTGCCCCTCCATCAGCCTCTCCTAGGTTACTCTTGGCCAACTCTGGCCACCTGATTAAGGGATTATTGAGGCTGATGGTTGTCAGTGTCCCCCACATGCTGGCTACACCTGGACCTCAAGGGGGGGGGGGGGGGGGGGGGGAGAGTTTACACTTTAATTCACCCACATAAACACAGTAGCATACAACACGTACCTATTCAGTCGATACTCGGCGTCACATGCACACAATGTACTGCTGCTTGGTGTCTCACACTGGCCTCGTTCTGCAGAGTGGAGAATGCGAAGGGAGGGGTGGCGGGGTCACTGTCTCGTATCTCCCTCTCTCTTTCTCCAGCTCTTCTAGCCCCCCCTCCCACTGCTCCCGATGCCCTGCCAAATTCATATATCCCATAATCGTGCTGAGTCGCCATGTCAGCAGCACTGTATCAACCCCACTGCTTTGTCTTGCTCTTGCTTGTCACCACACTGAGACACTGCCTCCTGCCATGCCTGCAGTCAAAGATCAGATACCTTGGCTGTACAGATGCTCACGGATGTACCAGTCGAGGATGTATTGATTGATTTATTCCCAACCATCCAGCTGCACAGTGTAAACTTACTGTAGCCTAAAATAGGCCTACATTTCATTAAGTAAATTTAGCCACAGAGGCTGTTCGAGAACACATTTCTGACAACAGAAGAGCTTTGAATGAAGAAAAACGAAGCTCGCATCACAGTTTCCTTTGAATAGTTTCCATAACTTTTTTTTATGGCGACCTACAGTCTTTTGTTTAATATCCGTAGAGAGAGGAGAGCCAGTGTTTTGATTCTGCAATCGGGACATTCCTAACAGATGCCATCTTGCCTATTTTTAGGCCGGTCACTTCGCCTCACCTCCTGGTATGAGGAGTGAGTCAACAGCTGTTCTCACCTTTCAGTCCATTGTTCATGTGCTGAAAACCTTTTATCCCAACACCTCTAGTTATTATAAACATGGATTCATTGCTTCTTGGTTACATTTACAGTGTTCAGGTTTCCTTCCTGTTTGCTTCAGTGAACCTACAAGAGCGGCTGGAGCCTTCCCCGAGCGACTGAGTGACCTCCCGGTGCTCTCTCGCCCTAATAATTACACAGCTAGATGCTAACCGGCTCAGCTCGGCTTTAGCTGCAATGTTTTGGCTGTTATTTGGATTTTCCTATTTGAGTTTTAATTCCATTGTAAAACGTTTATGCTGGATGTGTTGTGTACTTGTATTCGGGTGAAAGTCAAAAGTGTTTAATTAGTTTTTGCTTGGATTATTTGACCTTTCTGAGGGTTATGCTGTTGTTTTTTTCCCCGTAAGAAGGCTTTAACAATAGAGGGTGTCGTATGTTTTACTGATTGTAGAACCGTTTGAGGCAGGTGTGTGATATGTGAATTTGGGCTTTATGAATAAAATTGACTTGACTACTTCAGGATAAACACATCCAACAGGTAAATTCACAGAAACACATAAAATGAAGCCCCACAAACTGTAACGATTTCCAATTGTAAAAGAAGATTCTTTAAAGTACCAATACCACAGTGTTAAAGTAATGCATTACAAGTACAAGGAATACTTTACCCCCCCAAAATGACCATTTGTATATTGAATACTCTCCCCTTGAATTCTTGAAGAAAATATATCAAACTAACCCGTTTACAAAGTCTAACCAGTTATGCCTCTTTTGTTCAATCATCTGCTGCAGAGAACAGCAAAGATTACTACCAGAAGTTGAAAGTAAAGGCAGAGCCGATGGAGGTGGACCCACCCCCCGCTGAACTCGCCACACCTGCCTCTCACCTGCGGGCCTTCAGCACTTTAAGGGCGAGTGAGAAGACTGAGCCAATGAGTAACCTGCTAGAGACACTGGCCCACCCCCAGAAAGACCTGTTCTCCCAGGACATATCGGTCAAAATGGCCTCCGAACTACTGTTCAAATTGTCAGGTGAGTTCCTTGCAGACATGTGCGCTGTCAGACACACACACACACACACGTACGTACAGCAACACGTCTTCTTTTCCACCGCAGTGTAAACCTTGGACAGGTTTTGATACTCGACCATAAAAACCTCCATGTTTCCATTGCCGTCCTCTGGCGGCTCTGTTGTTAAGTCCAGGATATACGACACGTAATGACATCCTGCTTTTTACCTGTATGGCCATGAAAGTGACATTGAAGCAGCAGACAGCTGTTTGTATTGCTAGATTAAGACCGAGGGGAAAGGTGCAGATGTGTGTGTGTGTGTGTGTGTGTGTGTGTGTGTGTGTG